ATGCACTTGCCAGAAAGACAGAGAGAGACAGAGAGACAGAAAGCGAGAAATCACCCCCCCGGGGGGTTGGCCATGCTGCAATCCCTTCTCCTCCATTCTCCTCTCGGGATCTTGGGCATGCACGCACATGCGCCTGGTGTGAGTTTAAGCCCCCCGGGTCCTGGACAAGAACAGTGGTCGACAACATGGGAGTCCAGTGACATAGCCATTATGCCAACTGCTGGCCCCTCGGGAGGCTTCTTAAACATGCTTATTTCTGAATCCCCTGGGGGTTCTAGTACTCAGCCTATTTTGGGTTCCTAGGTTGAATCAAACAGATTTTTTTTTTTTTTTTCTTAGGGCATGCACACTTGCCAGAGAGATAGATAGAGACAGAGAGACAAAAAGCGAGAAATCACCCACTGGGGAGATGGCCACGCCTCAATCCCTTCTCCTCCATTCTCCTCTTGGGATCTTGGGCACGCACGCACACGCGCTCAGCATGAGTTTTTAAGTCTCTGGGTCCGGGACTTGAACTGTGGTTAAATACTTGGGAGTCCAGTAATGTAACCATTACTCTATGTGCTGGTCCCCAAACAGAAGAATGTTAAATGACGTGTGGTGAAATGACAGGGTTCTCATTCAGAACTTTCAAATGAGAGCCGGAGCTAGGTGGGTACTTTCTATTTTAAGATGGTTAGTAAGGTGAGCCTGTCTTTTTTTTTTTTTTCTTTGAGAGGTTTTTGCTATAGGGCGCATGCGCTCGCCAGACAGACAGAGAGAGACAGAGAGATAGAAAGCAGGAAATCACCCCCCAGGGGGGATGGCCACGCCGCAATCCCTTCTTCTCCATTCTCCTCTCGGGATCTTGGGCACGCACGCACACGCGCCCGGCGTGAGTTTAAGCCACCGGGTCCGGGACTCGAACCGCGGTCGACTACGTGGGAGTCCAGCGACATAGCCATTACGCTAACTGCTGGTCCCGAGCCTGTCTTTTCTAGGTACTGGCGACAATGGGTTTTTCAAAGAATTATTTATTTATTTAATTCTATTTGCTATTACTTTCATTTTTAAATTTGACCAGACAGAGACAGAGAGAGAGAGAGAAAAGGAAAGTGAGAGAGCAAGCCGCCAGGCTGAGACTCGAACTGCGGTCGGCCACGTGGGAGTCCAGTGCTCTTTACCACCACATCACCTGCCAGCCCCTGGGTATATTTTTTGAATGCTGGAGGGTACAGGTGCTCCCCAGGCTGAGAGAGAGAGAGAGAGAGAGAGAGAGAGAGGGGACGCAGCCCTGGTATAGTCACGGTGCTCCCCTTTTCCCTCTCTTACTCTGTCCGGTTGGGATTTGGGGCGTGCACGCACACACCCAGCATGGTTTTCAAGCCAGGATTCGAACCACAGCCGGCCAGCGGGGCTGTCTTAACCACTGAGCTACATACTGGTCAGCCTTTTTTACAAAGTTCTTTACTTTATTAAAATTGTGAACGATGGGTTTGAAGGGGGAAGCTGGTGGCTTGCTTTTACTAACCTGTGGTAGGAAGAGATCTTCAACAAGTTCATGGAGAATGCGTATTATGAAAAAACTCTGCCTGTGTTTCCAGGGTTTTTACACCAAAATAGACTTGTCCTTGAATTCCACCTTTCTGCAAACTTTTTGAAGTCCCGGGTATGACTAGCAGGTTGCCACCAACTTCACTATTTTAAAGCTGTCGAGTAGTGGAGCACAGTTACCTGTTGACAGGCTTTTTATCCAATTTACCCAAGCCACAGAGCCTAGAACACGCACAGCCTGCAGGGCCATTGGGTGGTGTGGGGGTAAGGCAGCTGAATCCCACATCGCTGATGCTACGGTTCCAGTCCCGGACCCAGCAGCTCGAAAATCATGCTGGGCACGAGTGCTGCAAACCCTGAAAACAGAATGGAGGAGGAGGGGTTGCGGTGTGGCCATGCTCCCAGGGGGCGACTTCTCACTTTCCCTCTCTCTCTCTGACAAAGGCGCATGCCCTATAGCCAAAAAAAAAAAAAAAAAAGAGGCGTGCATGCAGCTTCTAAGACGGCAGATAATGCCTTGCAAACTGAGACTGGTACCTCTGTCTGGTCACATTAGAACAGAGCTGTAAACCTTGTACCGAGTCTGGCACCCAACCTGTAAATCACGGGCCTGCTCTGAGCCACCCTGACCCTTACGCAGGTCTGAGCAGTTGTGGGATCAAGACCAACCAAACGCGAAAAGCCAGGGTGGTGCGCTCTGAGCTTGCCGCCGGGCGGGAGCTGCCGTGGGCACTTGCAGAGGAGAGAAGCCCTGTAGGGGTGAAGGGATGCCTTCAGATGTGCCCCAACTCGGGGCTGGGGCGGCCATACAGAGTGGCCGCCGTCTGTCGAGTGGCCGCCGTCCGTCTGGACGTCCAGCCTCTCACGGCGGCCAGCGTTAGAGCTGTTGGCTCACTGTGGACACTAGCCCCCTTGTGACCCGGCCTCCCTCTGTGCTCCGGGTGGGCTTATCCGGCCGAGTGCAGGTGGTTTCTGAGATCCTCAGGCTTTTCCCGCCGCCCGCTCCATCGCCCGCTCCTTCAGTGTTCTCTGCTCACCTCTGGGTGTCACCCTGTCCCGGGAGCTGGCAGCCAGTCTGCCCTACGCCAGTCCACGGGGAAGCGCTGAGGAGGGGAGCGTTATTATCTGGGACTTCTGTTTTCTTTTGCCATTGTGTCGTGTCTCTCCCCTTCCCCCAGCCCCCACCAACTGCCACAGGCACGTGGGCACCAGAGAAGGCAGAGAGGACCGGGAGGACGCTCCCCAAGTGGGTGCATCCTGCTGCAGCCTCATTCCTCTCCCCATCCTGCTGGGACATGGGGCGTGCACACGTGTCCAACGTGTGTCTTGAGCCGCCAGGGCTGGGATTCAAACCACGCCGCTGGCGATGTGGGATCCAGCTCTCTTAACCCCTGGGCCATGGGGCCTGCCCTGATTTCTGCTTAAAAAAAAAAAAGTTAGTCCATCCCTCCCCCACTTTCTTTTCTTTGAGGAAAACAGGACGGTAGTAGTTTGTCCTGGGAAATTTTACTTCCTTATACAATTACACTTTTCTTTATTATTTGATCCCTAAGACAAAGAGGCAGATAGGCACCAGCAGGCTCCCACACCCCATCTGCCCCAGTCTCAGCCAGCACAACTCCAGTGTACTCAGGGAGGTCTCAGGATGCGAACCCACGACCTTCCCATGGGGTCCACCTGGAGAGCTTCACGTTTCACCACTGGCTACCATCTGGCTCCTGCCACGTTTCTTACTATTCAAGCATGACAGTTACAGAGGCCAGGAAGAGTCTCTGGACATTCCCTCTGACATCAAGAACCCCAGGAGGTGGCCTCTGGGGTGACCTCAGGCCAGGCTGTGCTTTCTAGAAAGTTCTGGAACCTTCTGGGAAGAGACATCAGGGTAGAAGTCTGGCCCACTGCCCTCTCCACTAAAGCCGCAAAATCAGGTTTCAGTCTGGCCGAAGAGCGGCAGGAGAAGCGGGCTCCCAGGGCAGGGGTCTTCCTCGGAATTCAGCGGCTGACTGTTTGCGTCCCCAGGTCTGTGGTCTGGCATCGTGGTCTGCGCCGTCTCACAAGCCGTGTGTTTCGTGGGCTTCATCGCTCGGCTGAACTGGAAGAAGGCCTGTCAGCAGGTAACAGCGCTCACGGGCCCGTAAAGGCACCTCTGCTAGGAGACCAGCGGGACCCGGGCAGCCCTCACCACGTGGACGTCTCTCTCCCTCTCTCTCCCTCTCTCTCCCTAAGGAGACCAGCGGGACCCGGGCAGCCTCACCACGTGGACGTTCCTCTCCCTCTCTCTCCCTCTCCCTCTCTCTCCCTCATGCTGTGTTTTGTTTTGCTTTGTTTGAACTGGATTTAATTCAGAGGAGAAGGGCCAGATAGCCCTGTGTTTATCCATTCATCTTGAAAATGTGTTGACTGGGAAATAGGAAGTTTCTTTCCGTTGTGTTTCATGTGAGGTTGTCTCCCTGGTGTTGGAAAAGCTGACTTCTAGATAAGAACTGGAAGTGGAGGGAAACTCTAATGCTGTTGTTGTTTGTTTGTTTTTTTAACTGTCAGAGAGCATTTATGCTCACCAGAGGGGGGGGGAACACTGCCCAGAGAGGATGGTCACACTATAACCCCTTCTCCTCCATTTCTCTCTTCTTTCAGGATTCTGGGCACACGTACACACATGCCCTGCCTGTTTCTCAGGCTGCTGGGTCCAGGACTCAAACCATTCTGGCTGTGTGGGACCCAGCTTCCTGAAATCCCAGGCCACAGAGCCAGCCCAAGGAAGGGAGACTTCTGAATAATCTTGGTCCTGTCTTGTCCCTCACCCTGTTCTGGTGTTCACCCACCAACCCCATTTCGATCTTTATGAAAGACGATTCCACACTGGGAACTAAAGAAGCTTCAACTTTACATGCTATTTAAGGAACACGGCTTGGTTTTTCTAAGCCAACCGGTCAAATATAAGGCTCTTGCCAGGGAGCACATACTCCCGAGAGAGACAGAGGGAAAGTGAGAAATCACCTCCCAGGGGGATGATCATGCCACAGTCTCTTCCCCTCCATTCTCCTCTTGGGTTTTGGGCACACATGTACATACGCCCAGCGTGAGTTTTGAACCACTAGGTCTGGGACTTGAACTACGGTTGACTACGTGGGAGTCCAGCAATGTAACCATTATGCCATCTGCTGGTCCTGTGCCTGGCGTGATTTTTAAGCCACCAGGTCCGGGACTTGAGTCACCATCAGCCACGTGGGAGCCCAGCACCTTACCCCCCACGCCACCTGCTGACCCCCAAATGAAACGTTTCGGTAACACCATCACCCAGTATGGACTTACCGAGAGCTTCCTTTTGGGAGCCCAGCACCTTACCCCCCACACCACCTGCTGACCCCCAAATGAAACATTTCAGTAACACCGTCACCCAGTATGGACTTACCGAGAGCTTCCTTCTCTAGGCTCAGGTCCACGCCAATGTGAAACCAAATACGGCCCAGAGCGGGGACTCCACGCAGGAGCCGCTTCACTCAGGTAGGACACAGCCGGCCCTGGGACAGGACAGGCTGGCGGGGTGGGGGCTGGGGCAGCAGGTGCCCTCTAGGACACGGCGAGCGAGCCTGGCAGCCACGCTTCAGGAGCGAGCGATCCGCTGGAGTAACTTGAGCCT